GTGTGTAGGAGTAATTTTGTTTCCGCCTAGAAGACGGTCTTGCCGACTATGATTGCCACTTCCAGGAATTAAAATATTAAATTGCACAGCAGCTTAGAATAAATGTGTGCATGGAAATATATAAATATATTTGTATTTAAATGCACATACATGCGTGTTTGTATTTAGAGATTGTATCTACTTATTTAGAGATTGTCAGCCGATCGATTATTTAGCGTTGTTTCACTCACACACGCTATCTCGTCGAGCTACTTCGACTAGGTAGTTGAAAAATTAAATCAAACGCAGTCTAAGATTGTCCGTAGCGGTCTTTATATGCATCATACTTTCAATTATATATATATGTATATGTACGTGAGCATCTCTCTATCGAAGCGCATTTTGATTGGTCTATTGTTCGATTTTATTACCCTTATATCGCACGAATTGGCTCACATGCTGCTCGTTTACCCACAAATAATGTGATCACACACACACACATCGTGTATACATGCACTCATTCGCACGTAATTAAAATCGAATAATTCGAATTGAAGAGCAGCAGCGGTCGCAGCTCTCACTGCGTGTCTTTGCCTCTCCCGCGGTCATTACGAACACGCACACACACACACACGCAATTGCTTGGTGATGCAAACAGGTTTCCTTCATTGCTTGATTTCTTCGGCTGACGCACAACTTGTGACGTCGCAGTCGGCGCGCCCGTTAGCAGCGGCTGCAGCGTCGTAGCCGCCTTTGCCATGGGCTGTGCGCTGCTGGCCTTCCATGTTTCATTTTTATTGCTTATGCATGCTGCATTATCGGGTCATTTTCCAGAAGCGTCGCTCTTTACCGTCTCTATATGTGCAAGTGTGTGCGCGTCTGTGTGCATCCATTCAACCTTTTCGGCGTTTTGATGTCCCTCACTTCGATACTTCGATGAATGGTCTGCGCGCTCGATCGATCGGCCTGCCTGTCTGCCTTCTTTGCATCTCCTTTTTGTGCGTGCGTGTGTGTGTTTGGATTTATTGCTGTCATTGTGTTTGTTTTCTGCCTGCCTGTTTGCATGCGTGTGTGTGATTTTTATTTTATAATGTGCATCTTGCAGTGCATTCAGTTGATTGACGACCTTTGATATCGTAGCATCGTCATTGCAATCACTCGGGTGATTTCGTGTGTATATCAAAACTCATCACCTTCTTACCTTAATTCGATTTGATAAATTTTACACGGTAGCAAAGACAGTCGGCAAGTGGGAATCGAGGTGAACACCTCGTGAGTTGTGGCTTGGCTTCCGCGGTGTTGTATTTGTGTGTTAATGTGTTCATAATATTAAATGATTATATATCATTTATAGAGAATCAAGACAAATTTTGAAAATTCAAGTGCAGTTAATAAACAAAATTTTCAAATAATTTTTGTGCAGTGTTAATAAATATGGTGTTGTACGAAAACATAATAATTTAAAAATAATAAATGTGTATGTTTGACTTGGTGTAAAGTGACAAGCTATTGCTACAAAAACTTTTAAAATTGAATAAACAAAAAATAAAACAATTTGTAACAAAAATCAAATGAAAAACATTTTATCAGACGATTAACGGCAGTAGCACGTGTTAGTTTGTGTGAATGTTTGGCAGCTTAGAGCAAGGTCTTAACAAAGTTCGCTCGATTGTTTAAGAAATCCAACAAAATGCTGATTTCAGAGGATCAAATACAAGAGGTAAGTTTTATAGAAGACAAAATATTTACATATTTTAATAAATATTTTTTTTTTATTTTAAATAAAATATTTTTTTCTTGTAATTAAAATGTAAAAAAAAAATTCTAAAATATTCATAATTGAAATTTTTGTTTTGTTTGGATTAAAATATAAATAATTAAAATTTTGTAAAATTATTATAATAAAAGTAATGTAAATTTTTTTATCATTAAAGTTATGTAATTTTTTTTTCTTAAAATTTTTATAAGAAATATTTTGTAAAATTTTTATTTTTCTTTGTATAGATAAAATATCTAAAAAATGTTGCTTTAATTAAAATTATAACGAGTAATTAAAATACATACATATGTATGTACATATAACGGGTGCACAAAGCAAGCAAATCAAAGCTAAAAGTTAACTGTTTTTTATGTCACAGCAACAAAGCTTTTCATTAATATAAAAGCACAGGTAATCGATGCCTTAACCCTTGAACGCCATATGTAGACGTTCCACTTTTTTGGTTTAAATCCACAATTTTAATATTGTAAAGTATAGTTTTCAGGCAATTTTCAATTCCTGACTTACGTCCTTAAATTTTTTAGATAGTCTTCTGTTCTATGTATCAAGTGTTTTGTATACTTAGTACCTGTGATTGAAAAGATAAAAATATGCCGAAGAAGAATTATTTAAGCATAAATACACAGATCTACACATGTATGTATAAAATCGATCAAAAATTAAATAAGCTTACGAAGGATATTGATATTTTTCTTCAAAAAAGTTACTTAAATAAAAATCCTCCGCGAAAAAAGTCGAAAATAGTATGAATTGATCGTTTTCTGTTTCTATGGTCACAATTATAGTGTAGTATACTGTATTAGGTAATAAAATATATAAGAAGTGGATAACAGAAAAGCAAAGAAAAATGTGCACACACCAAAATTATTCTTCTTTTTACTAAGAGAGCCAAAAATTACTACAGAAACATAATATAAATACATATTTAAGTATATAAGTACATATATACAGACAGACTTTATTAAATAGTAAAGTGGATTTTGTGAATAAACTTTTGTCTTTATGAGTAATGTTTACACCACAATTTTATGACTTTTTAATATATACCACCTATCTTTGACAATTAAGAACACACCAAAATTTTATTAAATTGCATCTCTTTAGAAATTATATGCAACGCTTAAAATTGTAAAAAAAATCATATTTTGATAGATTTAAAAACAATAGTTATAAGAATACTGCATATAATTATCGACTTATGTTTCAATTATCAAAAATATATAATATATTAATTATATATATAGTTTTGTGTTTTATGTAAACTTCTATTGCTTGTTAGCAAATTTAATGCGACAAAACGCCGTCGGCAAACGTAACAAGTTATAAAATTTACAAATTAATATCTCTAGTTAACTAATTTCTTTAGATGCCGTCGGCATTAGGAATTGCAATATATAATTTCTTAGAAAAAATTAAACTTACTTATCATAAGCATACTTCTTCAAATATTGTTCTTAAGCATATACGAAATAAATTACTATATATTTATAGAATATTTTTGAAAATATTTTTATTTCTCTGGATCCCGTAGCCGATCTCTAACAGCACCTACGAAAAACGGGGTCTGGCGGGGAGGCGGAATTTTAAATTCAAACAAAAAAAAACAAAGCCAGCAAAAATTTTGAGTTTTGACAAAATTTCGGTGACCCAAAAAAAATCAAAAACAAATCGCCTTTTTTGTGAAAAATTTACACTACAGAATGGATTAAAAAATAATTGTTTTCAAAACTATTATTTCTTCTATTTTTATATGACAAATATATCTAAAAAGGTTGTGTAAAACTTTCAAGTCGCCTTGAAATCCCATAAATATAGAAAATATTTAAAATCATTAATCAAAATCGAAAATCTATTTTTACTCTTTAATTCTTATACTCAACAGTCAGTATATAACAACTCTGCTCTATCTGCTCAACTCGGTAATTAGGCATATAAAACGCTATTCTTGCCCCAAAAAATGTCAAGCTAATAATGATTACAAGAATATTACTTCTTGAACTACTTGAATGCCGACATTTCGGTAGCGATTACATGTCTATACAAACTATAATGCATATGCCACTCGTTGCACCCCTCCAGTAATTAGCTGCAACAGTATATCCATGCAATGTAACAACACATCAGTACAAAGCAGCAACAACCACTCGAGTGCCAACCAACAAACTTTTTTTTTCGCACAATTTTTTCTGCCACTTCAAATTTTATCACAATATTTGGCAATCATAGAATATAAATACAAATACATACACGAAAAGGTGATAGGTGTGCGGCAACCCCAAAGCATAGTGTATACGTAGAACAAAAAAAAAAAACAACGCATGAAAGGCTAACACATATGTAGGTGAACGGCGCTTGCGTGTTACGGCGGAAAATTAAAAAAGAAAAAAGTTGCCCAATCATTTACGAAGACTTGCGCTCCTGTAGGGATGCTAAGGACATACATATACCGGAGAGTATATGAGCGGCGCAGAAAACGTCACAAACACACACAAGCGCAATTGGATTTAAGATAAGGAAGGTCACGTGTGTTTTGTATTGTTGTTCTTGTTTGATCGCGTTGTTGCTGTAACCTTTTTCCACTCATTGCACATTTTCATAGCATTTGCTTTCATATTTTTTGTTTTTGTTGCTATAGGGATTGAATGATTGGCTGGTCGGTTGTAAGCAACACTTCAGGTGTGACTGCTTATGTGCACGAGACAAGGGATCCTGGAATATTTAAAAAAAACTTTTTTTTGAATGAAAATTCGATTGTCGAGTTTAGTTGGTAGCACATGCCAAAAAAGGCGTGAATGTTGTTGTTGTTTTATATGATTACTTGCAGCTTGCGGAGAGTTCAAATAGGGGTAGCATGCAACATTTATACCCCCTGCGCGCGCTGATGGCTTCTACTCACCCTTGATTTGAGGCACCTTTTTATACACACATGTATGCACATAAGCATATAAGAAAATGCGATATATATATATATGTATGTGTGATATATAATTGTAGATATTCGATAATGAGCATTACATTGGCGGTGAGTTTGCGCCTTTGCGGTATTTTGAGGTGCCAAAATAGGCTGCATTGTGCTAATTTTGACCTTTGAGGTTAAGATGATATTTAACGTTGGTTTTCGGTGTGTCTTCATTTGCTTTTGTTAATTGTTACATTTTTTACAGCCTTTTCATTATCTACCGTAAACAATACAAGTCATTTATAATTCATTATTTCTGCTTCTTATTTTTCTATTTTGCAGCTTTACGAGATCAACGATGATCCGAAAAGAAAAGAATTTCTGGATGACTTATTCTCATTCATGCAAAAGAGAGGTGAGTACAGATTACATATTTTTAGATAATAATCTGGTTTACGTTATTAGAACGTAAGGTATGTTAATTAGGCACTATTGATTTTGAAGAACAATGAAGAATTAAAAATAAAATATTGTGGGTTTATTAGAAAAATTTAAATTACACACAAAATAGAAATTAAAACATTGAATACATAGAATGTATACCTATATATAATTTTATGCAAATGAAGTCTTCAGTCCCTTTGTGTCATAATTATCTGACCCTATCAGTTCACGAATGATGGTTTCGAAAACTAATAAATTCGAAAATATTACAACACAAAAATTGATAAGCAATAAAAATTTTTAAAATTAAAAATTATCGGAAATACAAAAAAAAAATAATAATTTAAACTTAAATTTTTTTAAACGAAAAATATATCCAATTATAAGGGTAAATAATAAAAATTTTGAGAATACAAAAAAAGATACAGAAATTTTAAGAAATTTGAATTAAAAATGTGTACAGAGTTAAAAATTAAAGAAATACTAAAAAATTCGGGAATCCAAGAAAAAATAAATTTAAAATTTAAAAACGAAATTGCGCTTTATATCATAATTGGATAAAGTTTAAAAAATACTAAAAAATTCGAGAATACAAAAAAAAATAAGAAAACTAAAAAATAATGGAAAATTTAGTAAGTACAAAAGTACTTTTAAAAAGTACAAAAAAGATAATAAATGAAATTGCAATTTTTTATCATTATTAATATTATATATGTATTTACAATTGAGTAAAATTTAAATAAAAATTTAAAAAAAAAATTTAAAAGACTAAAAAATCGGAAAATGCAGAAAAAGATAAGAAGTAAAATTTATACATTATAACATAAAAATTAAAGCAAAATCAAAATTTAATAAATACTATAAAATACGAAAATACAAAAAAAGAGAAAAAAATAAAGTTTAAAATTTGTAAAAGAAAAAAAAATTATTTATAATTGATTAAAAAGAGACGCACGAAAAAATTAAAGATATCGTTTAAATTATATATATATATATATATATATATATACAACAAAAAAAGGTGTGCATATACTCAAAGTTATTTTCCATATAAATCGTGTCGCTCGAAGATTTATAATTTTTATTTTTTATGTATAAAAACAAATAATTAAAAAAATAGTAAGAATGCAATAAACATAAAAATGAGAAAAACTTAATAGTAAAAAATTCAAAAATTAAATAATAATAATACAATATATATATACTCATTACAATAAAAATTATAATAAACAAAAAACAAAAAATATAATAGTAAAAATAAAAATAAATAAAAATATAAATATAATATAATAATAATAAAAAATAACCAAATGTAAACATTAAGAAAATATTAATATAAAAACAAAAATAATACTCAAAAAAATAAAATTAATGGAGAAAGTAGAAAATGTGTTAATACAGACTAAGTCAATATAAGGTGTAGAAAGCGAGGTGGACACTTTGGCATTGAAATATCTCATACCTTCTGCGAACCAGCTGAATTGGCTGGATATCCGATTATTTTAATTGGCGAATTTCTATAAAATCTTCGTAAATATTTATATTTTTAATTTTTATTTTATTATATTCTAATTCTTTTCTAGATTTGTTTAACTGTTGTATTTATTATTATTTATAAATTTTTTAATTTATTTAATATTTTTTAAATATTTTTTTTAACTTTTTTTTAAATATTTTTTTAATTTTTTAAAATTGTTTTAAAATATTAAAAAAAAATGTTTATAATTTTTTAAATTTTTTTATAATTTTTAAAAAAATTTTTTTATTTATTTAAATATTGTTTTTATATTATTTTAATTATTTTTCGACTACGTTATAAAATATTTAAATATAAGTTTTTTAGTTTCCGATGTGTTACATTATATACATATATTTTAAATATATTTATGCTAGTAAAAATAATTTTCAAAGTCAAATTAAAAAAAAGTAATTGTCTTTCTGATTCAAAATTCAAATTAGAAAATATAATTATTTTATCTCTTGACAACAATATCACCCATATAATAACATACATAAAATATATGCTAATGAAAAAAGACTAGACGCCTCCACTCCAACCAGTGATTGACATATTTCAATTAAAAACCACACACAGCAGCGCTGACATTTTTCCTTTAATTATTTCTATTTTCTGAAAATATCAAATTGATTTTGTTTCATGCGATATAAAAAAAACACTCCCGTGTATATATACGTAGAGCACATATACTTACAACGCATAAATCGGACTGTTGCTTATGCTTGTGTGAGTGAGTTTGTATGTGTGAACGAGCATGTATGTGTGTGATTGTGTGCATTGCGCTTGTTTGTTATTTTAGTAAAATTTTTCTGTGAATTCTCGCGCTCATAATCAATCAACGCAAATTGTACGGTTATGCGCCACCAACTGCAGGCCGCCGATCTTCTAGTCACGGCATTCCGACTGACTGTCTGACACTCATTTAGCCGCTCCACGCTCCCCCCACTCGCTCTGTACAGCTCGAGCTGCTTAGCACCCTCCCGCATTTGTAAAGGATTTCTGTTGTTGTGTGTGGTGTTGCGTATGTTCGGTTTCGAATGGCAATCGGCGAGCGGCGGAGCAAATTTTCCACATCACAGATCTCAATGGCTGTGAAAGTATGTCGGATTGACTGCTCCCTAGCGTCTTGAGCGTCAACTATCTAACGGCGCAAGTAGTTGGTGTCTTTTTGATTTTCTATTTACTACTTCAACGGATGGCGGAATCCATACACTTAGTCACTAACTCGGCGTTGCGCTCCTTGCTTTCAAGGCGTCACAATAACGTCAAGTTGCCGTCAGTGAACTTTGTGACAGATTAAAATCCATTAAGTTGTCATGTCAAAACGAAAAAAGTGAAATGAAAAATTTTATTTCGAATACTTAGGTACATATGTTATGTATTAGTATGTGCGTATATATGTATATTATGTACAGGGCCATAAACTAGGATATGGATGAGGTGTATACTGGGAATGCACTATTTATATAATAATCAATTATTTTAAGTATTACGTTAGGTTAAATTAAGTTATGTTATGTTAAGTTATATTATGTTATGTTAGGTAACAATATATTGCTTTATCTATTATTTTTAATTTTATATTTTTTTATCCTATTTTCTTAATAATTTTTTATATACATATGTGTATATATTTCGTGTTGGCATCTTCAAAATTAATTTATTATACATATTACGTAATTAACTTATTTATTACTATCTTGAATGCATTTTGCCACATAAATAAAATTAATTCAATTAAAATTATCTATGCAACTTACATATGTACGTACATTTATGTAAGTACTTTGCCAACACATGTCTCAACCTCAAGCAACAACCTCACTCAACTAATTTAATAATGTCTTACAGTCTCGGCAGTTCCTCCTTCAATATGCATATGTATACATTTTACAGCCATATTTTATAGTTTTTCTCTTCAATATAGGCGCACATAAGACCATACCACTGGCAATACATACATACAAATGCATTTATAAATATGCAAATAATATTAAAATATTATTTTTCACCGACGACGCGACATTCATAATTGCTTAAAAAAAATATTGCACATCGTAAATGAAAGCCTACAAGTGCGTCCGCTGCACACGGCCACTGAGCAGGTTTAAGTTTCCGTTATTTAGCCAATGCACTCACGCCAGCAGGGGCGTTAGAAATGAAAAAAAAAAGAATTATGTGTACAGTAGGGTGTAAAATTTTTGCAATTTTTTTTGAAAGTTAAACATTTTTGTTTTTTTTTGTTTTTAAATATTATAGTGTATTTTAATTATTTAATATATACATTTTTTTATTAATTATTTTGGTTATTAAGTTTTTGGTTATTAATTTTTTTTTTAAAGTTTTTACTTTTGTTTTATTGTATATATGCGTATTAAAAATATATAATAATTTTTTCTTATGTTTCAAATTTGTTACTATTTAAAATTCTTTTTTTTAATTAAAAAAAAATAAAATATTTAAATTTTTTTTAATTTTAAACTTTTAGTTTTTAAATTTTTTATATTAATTTTTATATTAATTTTTATATTAATTTTTAAATTTTTTAATTTTGTAGTTTTTAAATTTTTTATTATTATTTTTTCATTTTTATTTGATAATAATTTATTTTCTTATATATGTTTTTATTAATTTAAATTATTTTGTTCACTAAATGATTAATTTTTAGAAAGCAGAAACATTTTTAACTATTTTAATTAAGCATTATTTTTTATATATTTTTATTTAATTTATTATAATATTTTAATAATTCTTTTTTATTTAATATGCTTTTATTAATATTGTTTCGGTTTTAAATAATTTTCATATGAATTATTTGTTTATAATTTTTCAATAATTTAAGTTTCTTTTAACTTATTAATATTAATTTAATATTTTTTATTTTATTTTTAAATTGGCTTTGGCCAGTACCATTATAGGTAAAACAAATTGCGGCTGCCTTTATTTTTCGCATTACTGTACATACATATATTATTTTCCAAACATAAGCCCACCTTCCACTCAATTGTAAAACGGCAAGAAAACATTTAACTTGACACTGCTGTTGGCTGTTGCAGGACAACAACAAAGCAAGACATAGAAACCAAAAGCAAAATACAAATATTTTATTTCAATTTTAATACTTGTTTGTATGTTTTTAAGTATTTCTATGTGTGTGATTTTTTAATATTTTAGCATTTCCCTATTTTTGTCTGCACTTTGCTTACGTCTTTGTTTGTTAAGCACTTTTTTGCATTAAATTTTCACGTGCTTACAAATACACATACATACATATCTGTACATATCATACATGTGTATGCATATAACAGCAATTTTAAAGAATGCATTTAATTTGTTTGTGTTTACATTGCAAAAGCCAACGACAACGTCAACAAGCACTATGACTGCAACAACAACAATAATAATAACAACTACAATTGTCTACTGTGCAGTATGTTATAATAAAAACAACA